TCAGCTCTGACATATTGATCAATGTCGATATTCGCACTAATACTAGAAAAAGCAATACTCGAGAGAAGTTATTTTTTTTGCATTAATATACGCAATATGATGTTGAACATTGGAAATAACGGAACGTTGTAGTAGTTTGTTAAGTTATCACAATAGAGTAAACATATGTAACTGAACAATCGATACATAAGTCCTTTTCAACTACAGGGGGACTCCTGATTGTCACAGTACTGACTATAAAACTATGTATGTATATCAGATATTTAACATCACGTTATATTCGTTAAGAAACGCATCCCCTACTATTCGTTCAAAATAATATACGGCAAATGTAACTTAGTATATTATACTCAAATTCGTAAGAATTCTGTATCTCATAATTTTAACATTGGTTTGTCATAATTACATGCTTGGTTTAGGTTGATGTTAATGACATACACTTACAACCAATAACACGATCACTATAATAGTTTATTACGTAACAGTAGTTGATATCTGACAAAACTGTGTGACACCGGGATATTTGAAACTCAATAAAATGTAATTGGAACAAAATAAAACAATCTGCTGTAATGTCACAAGTGTATTCATTACAAGATATTTGATTGACATTCACCGATTTATTTCATGTCGCCGCCGTAACCGAACCCTCCACTCATACATTACACACCCCTATTAGCGCCCCCACAGGTGTGTATGGTCCATTATGGTGGCGGCAGAAGATCAGCGATTGATATTACCATGACAACAGAATAGATCAAAGGAGTGGTTTTGTAATCAAGTTTTCGAGATCGAAAAATTAATGTGTGTTTTAATTACTTTTTCTTGAGGTCTTGAATTACTCCTATCCTACTGAATGCAAGTTCGCTGATAATGTTTTGAATTACATCACCCAGAGTGTCATAACTGTCAAATTTATAATTTGAGTCATTATTTTCTAACTGTATTAAAACATGGGGCGTTTTTGTTGTTGAATCGACATGGCCTGTGCAGTGCAAATCAGTGCCACTGAGAATTCGGAAACTCATGACGAGAATCGATGATATCCGGGTTACCGATTCTCTAACTCAAGTTTCGAATATTCTATTCTCCAGAAGGCAAGTTCACAAAAACTCGTTTAATCACATCACCCATGACGTCATCGCAATCACGTTAAAAAAATGGTAAACTCGGCCATTGTGTCGTAATCATAGCTAGTTATTCGTTGATTCGACAATGGCCCTTGTTGTTTCTGTTACATAGTACAGTACAAACAGAACCGTAAATCCATGTTTATAAGTAATCAGGCTACTCGTGATTACAAAATAACGTTGAAATCATTAAAGTCGTCCCTAATATTAATTCGTAAACGGTAGAACCAATCCAACGCCTATATCCAGTTTACATTGATTGGAAATAATCATAAAAACATCACCAAAAACCACTGGGAATCGATAAAAATGTTGGTCTTTTCCTCTTAATTCTGTTTTTGATTGAAAATCTGTGAAATATTTCATGTAGCCGCTCGAGTTCGTCTTGTATAGAGCACGTGTTTTTACATTCAATGTTTACTAGTAGTTAGCGCCCTCATAGGTGTATATGAGTCGTGAATGAGGCGGTCAGATCTTAAATACCAAACAAAAGACTTCTGATCTTCGCCGACCATAACAAGTGATGGAGTGAATTGTTTGTATTATCACAACGAATACTTTGATGAAAGTGCATTAGATATACCATTTATTTGTATGAGTTTTGTTCACTAATCAGAACTAACATAAATCAGCCATGTGAGACCTCCGATAGTATTTTATTGAAATAGACAATAGTATTAAACGTACATGTGCCCGGAATTGGTGACTAATCTCTTTAACACAAAGTTCAACATTTAGTTAAATAATGATATTACAATGTGTCATCACGTATGTCCACGTTGATATCTAGAAACGGCGATATATTAGTACAACACTGGTCACAGTTTTGTTACTCTGCGAATAAAGACTACACTTTTATATCGGAAACTCAGACTGTACTCAGACATTGTAATCCCCTGTGAAAACATGCACAACATATGTCGAGTATGAAAATAAATACACAATAATTTCACATGGGGCTATCAGTTCTGACATATTTATCAATGTCGATATTCGTACTACCACTAAAGAAAGCGATACTCGATACAAGTTGTTTTTTTTTGCATTAATATATGTTGTGTTGAACTTTTGAATTATTATAACAGAACGTTGTAGTATTTTGCTAGGTTATCACAATAGAGTAAACATACGTAACTGAACAATCGATACATCAGTCCTTTTAAACTACAGGGTTACTCCTAATTGTCACAGTACTGACTATAAAACTATGTATGTATTTCAGATATTTAACATCACGTTATATTCGTTAAGAAACACATCCCCTACTATTCGTTCGAAATAATATACGGCGAATGTAACTTAGTATATTATACTCAAATTCGTAAGAATTCTGTATCTTATAATTTTAACATTGATTTGTCATAACTACGTGCTTGTTTCAGATCGATGTCAATGACACACACTTACAACCAATAACACGATCAGTATTTGTTAGCTAATAGATATCTGACAAAACTGTTTTTATCACGTTTAATCTCGTCTCGTTCAACGCTTTTAGACCATATTCACACCTCCGTGTTTGAAGAATCGGCATTCCCCGCCTCTATTGTTGGTTAATTCATCAGATATTGCAATGACCTCTCTCGGTCTGCTTGCAGTTTTCCATTTTTAAAATGGCATATTTTTTGTTTTCACTTCAGTTTCAATTAAAGATATAAGCTCTGAAACACAGTATAACGTACCAGACTGTTAATGACAACTTTGGGCCAACTGAGTTTAAAAAAACACCTCCACCGTCTGTAAAAATCACACCCCTCTGATGAAAATGGTTTGGTCCAACACCTCTTAAGTTGCTCTTTTGTCTTGTTGTCTTTGTATACTTTGCCGAAACAGCTAGGATATATAAGTCCCAGTAAAGAGAGTCCAGTTATTCTGAGCTAGTCTCATCACGAAGAACATACTCTGAGTACCTTATCCAACATTCCTCATGATGCCTATTACCGTTATCCTGATTTTTATCATCGTCGTCCCAGCATTCTACGTCACTTCCGATGACTCTTCAATGGTTCCTACACATTTTGGCGGACCTGAAGAAATACTTATCTATCACAAGGATGAATCCAGCGACGCATCATCAGAGAAGACTGTATCACAGATGAAAAACTTTGGTGGTTCTATCGATACATTAGCCGTAGAATTTAACCACACGTTACCAAGACAACGCATTGCTTCACCGACTTTTATGCTGGATTTATATAATGCCTTGCAGCACTCAGGACAAACTACGAAGTACGAGAAGAAAGCTCTCAGAAAATCAGATACCATCCGAAGTTTCTTTTCGCGTTTAGCCGGTGAGTATTTTTTTTATTCATCAATCGGTTGTAGATTTCAACTTTGATTTGATTATATATATAAATACTTGCCGAGTGTTGTTACATATATGCAAGTTAGTATTTCACTTGAGCATCCTAATTTTGAAATTCGAGGTTTATTTGTAATTGGACAATCATCGCAAAACCAACATACATGTTTCCGACATTGTAGGTAAACAATTAACAGTCTGTGTTTACTTGCAAAGCCCCTTGATTTAAGGATTCGATACGCGCATGTTTTCCAGACAGAGATGTGTGAAGTCCCCATCCTTGCCGCGGGCACTGTCTGGTGTACGTAATATAAAAGAGTTAATATCGCTCGGGGCACTGTCTGTCGGTCCGTCCGACTTGTCCGTGGGTGGGTGTCGACAGGCCGTTTTTACATATCGTTGACAATGTACTTGAGGTGTGAATTTGATCAGGGCTTTGTATTACCGACTGAAATTAAATTAATTTTAAAAATAGAACTGGCAGAGCTTATGTGTTATTTTTGTACCTTCGATGAGGAGATTATAACACTATTGGAATTAAGTGTTTACATTTTGTCTGAAAAAGAGATTATAAACGCAAGTATTAGTTTAAGTACCAAGATAGCCTAATCAGACATAGCGAGTACGTTATGTAATAACCGGCCGTAGTGTTCGCTTTATACTAATGTATTTTGTTTCTGTCTTGCAGATCTGTCTCGCCATGAACCGACTTCCCAAGTCCGGCAACGTTACATTTTCGACCTTGCTGTACTGTCAAATTCGGACAAACTGCGTTTAGCTGAGCTGAGATTTCCGTTTCCCGGACAACGCATCAAGAAGAAAGCCCAGATCGCTCTTCATCAACTCCACGAAGTACCGTGCGAAGAGAGCGCCACCCAGACATGTTTCAGAAGAGACACTCTGTCATCGCAGAACGTGAAACAATCTCATTTAAACGAAAACCGTGGCATGGTTATGTTTCAAGTCACCGGTATCGTCAAAAAGTGGTTGAAATCGAAGAACGGCAGACAAGTTATCGAAATCAGTATTCCTGATAATCAAGTCGATGACGTCGTGGTGTTGGAAGATGTCGTCGACGATAAAGCTCTTCTAGTAACCTACACTTATACTAAGGTAAAGAAGCAGAAGACCAAAAAGTCAAAAAAGAGCAAGGGGAAAAAAACCGAGAGCGAGCTTGAAGTTGACGAGTCCGGAGCAGAGAGAACGAAGGATAACGAAGAAGTTGACACCGAACAGGAAGATACAAAGGCTGGGCGAAAACGCGGAAGAAAACGTGATCGGGACGCCGATGAAGATGCTGAGGTTGAGATGAAAAGAGACAGACGAGGTGCCACCGAATCCGACAAGCGAAGGAAGAAGAAAGAGCGTGAGAGACGAAAAGAGGTCAAGGAAAAGAAACTACAGGAACTTCAAGAGAAAGCCATTCGTGAAGAGAATCATCCATGCAGAAGAGAAGGCCTAACAGTCGACTTTGACAAGATTGGCTGGGGCAGCTGGATCATTCACCCAAAGAAATTCAACGCATACCAGTGTGTTGGTTCTTGTCCTGGTCCAGTCGATGGCGATCACAATCCGAACAATCACGCTATCATTCAGAGTATGTTGAACAAGTCTTTTCCAGGACGCGTCTCGGGGCCTTGCTGCGTACCAACAAAGCTGGCACCTATCAGTATGCTGTACTACGAGCACGGAAACATTGTCGTCAAAGAACACGAAGATATGATCGTCGAAGAGTGCGGCTGCCGATAATACACAACATTATAACGTATTTATTTATTTCTGTTTGTTAATTATAACAAACGACAACTTATTTATTTTTGATCCGCAACGAAGCAGTATTGTATATATACGAAATAATTTTGTACGATGTTTGATCATTATAGTAATAAATAGTATTTATGTTACAAACTTGAAAAAAATTGTTATTTTTATCACTGAACAGCCTTCCCCTTCGTCCACACCCCAACACAATTTCCCGGTTTTCTTAATGACCCACCCACTCCAAGCTCTCAGTATAGTAATAGTGAACAAGTGATTTATAATCATGTTCAAGTTGACCCAACCCTAAACAGGAAAACCATCAATCGAAGTGAAATTGCAACCCATAATAGAACACCACGTGGTGAGACCGTTAGACCATCTTGAATATGGACATAAGTCAATAGTCACTAAGCAAATACTGGCATATTTGTTCTTTGACACCGACGTTTTATTAAATCTGTTCCAATCTCTTTCAAATACGAATATTCATTCCAAGTAGACAAATCACGCACCAAAAAAGCTTGTTTCAAAACAATATAGTTGTACTGAATTGCTCAAAGAAAACAGTTCACGGTTTTTGCACGCACATTAACGGCATTAAACTCGTGTAATTTACATATAAATAGATCCTATCTGTTTAAGATTCTACGAAGCCCGGGTTAGAAACCAGAAAATCAATTTGACCACAAATACAGTCGGAACGGAGTAAGCGTTATAATCTAAACTATATAATCTAAACGTGTGACATGCCGTCCGAGTTCGATATCTTGTCGTCTTTACAGTGTGCATGCCATCTCAGAAAACTAATTACTATCCGAGCGTCCATCAATGGCAGAAGAAATCATATAGGAGTTGGTTACTTCAGTGCCGATATTTTATATCACTGTGTGAATACGGACATTCTGGGTATCGTTTAATACTTAGGATATAGGTCATCTGTCGCACTGTGATGTCATATTTTTAACATCGCATAACCGTATTCATCTTCGGGAGCACGCCTTCGTGCGCAAAACAAGTGCGACGGCCTATACTGTGACACAATTTATGTTAGCTTGGACCACAGACTAATTTCAAACAAGTAAATTATTTAATTGACTAATACAGTGAATTTCATGAATATTTATAATATTTTATAAATTTCAAATGACGGCTGCATGACACTAAATCTGTGGAGAATTGAAAGAAAACAGCAAAGATTTGTTGTTGATTGTTCCAACCCAGAAAATGGTTAATATTTCCGTGATATGATCGTGGTTATGGTTTAAATCTGTCCACAATATACTTTATCCAGTTTGTGCAAGTTTTTTTCAGAGATAAAGCGGGAGGGTCGTCACCTGCGCAAGCGCAACAACACATGCTAAAAACGCAAAGGCTCACGGGCAGACGCTTGTTTATAAACAATGACACACTATGGCTATCTGACGCATGCATCAGGGCTAAAGAGTGTCCTTCTGGCACTAGGGAATCCGCCATCAGTTGACAAGCCCCTGTAATAAAATGCACTGTATCATCAGCAAAACTTGGAAATAAATTTGTGTTCTTGTCATTCAGGTTATCTTTGCAATGAAAAATTATCATATATACGTTAAATAGTGAATCAGAACTTGTCATTTTTGTTAATTCATTCATTTTTTATATATTTAATTTTACTATACTCTCAGAACAACAAAGGCGTTTTCTTCATCATTGTAAATTTCAATGGCAACACCATGCACTCGTTTCAATTTTATAAATATTTAACAAACATTTAAGTTTAAGTTTCCTGAGGAAACTAGCAACAAATCCAGTCACTTTTTGGTAATTCATACTGTATAAATCAGATGACCCATGATTTTAAATAAAAAAAAATTCCGGTCAAACCTTAAAAATTGTTAAACTGATGACAATAAACACGAAATTTTGTTTTGTTTATTTAATATTTTATTATCAAAGATTTGACAATCTGAGGAAGGCATTACAATGGATATGAAATATATAATTATCAAACCTTTTTATTTGGCACCATAAGAATATATTGCTTTCAATGAACAGATTTGAAATCAGTCAAGATAACTATTTTGAAAAGTTAATATTGAAAAGACATGATCAATGACAAGTCCCCTTCCAATTTTCAGTGACTGCCAACATTAGTGTCAAACAAGTCATTGAAAATGACACAGTCCCCGTTAAATTTTTGAAAGTTCTCTTTGTGCTTGTCATATTAAAGCAGAGCGGTTGTCGCGAGCGTGTCCTTGAAACTTGAGTTTCAGTGGCGTATACAACAGATTGTTTATTTACATCAAAACACGCGTTCCGTGTAGTAGTAATATGGCCAAAAATAAAAACAGCCGTTATTTGGCCATCTTTGATCTGATTATGAAACACACTGACATGTATGATGTATGTGCCAAATACGAATGAAAATGGTACATAAATTGTGGAAATATAGTAGTAAGGCCAAAAAGTCAGATTGCTGTCAATCTGCCATCCTTGACCAGATTTTGAAACAAATTGTCATGGACATGCATCCTAACATGTATAAAGTACATGTATGTGCCAAATTTTAAGGAAAACTGACAGAGCACTTCCAAGATACCGCATAAAAAAACAAAAAAAGATGCCTGCCAGTCGACCATCTTTGATCCAATTACGAAATAAATTGTCATGGACATGTAACCTAACATGTATAATCTATGTACCAAATTTGAATGAAAACTGACAAAACATGTCCAAAATACAACATTTTCAAAAAACAAGATGGCTGCCAGTCAGCCATTTTGAATCGAATCGCTAAACCACTGCATGTGCATATGTTCCAGATAAAGTAGTAGGCACATACAAAGAATGAACGGAATCCGTCCAAGGGATTCTGAGATACGACTCCGAACGAACGCACAGATGCACGGACGGAGAACGAATTATAAGTCCCCGTTTTCGGACTTCGTTCGAACGGGGACTAATAATTAGTTACACTCATGTGAAAGACATGATACAAAGTGAAGCCAGTTATTGTTCTGATGTGCAATTCCTTCTTTTATTCTGCCTGTGACATTCATAATGCATTTCTAGCAAGAAAATGATGATCAGTCATCTTGAATCAGATTCTGAAACAGATGCATGTGCAAATGTGTTATATGATGTATGTGTAAAGTTTGAACATGCCATGTTAGCAATATGATTTCAACAGCATTCATTAAAAACAAAACTGCCATCAGTCAGCCTTTCTGGCAAATCTAGGAAAAGTGTTTGCCAATATAGAATGTCATTAAACTCAGGAGCAGGATAATATAAATGTACCTGCATACCAAGTATCAAAGCAATTGAGATAATAGTTTTCAAGAGGTCGAAAATGGCATTTTTTACCCCAAAATGACAAAAATATTTGCCTAAAATAGAGAATTGAAGATAACAACACAAAATGAGCAAATCGGACATAGGTCTACTCAAGGTACCAACATACCATGTATCAAAGCAATTGAACAGGTGGTTTTCAAGAAGTATCGGGAGTCAAAAATATCTTTTTTACCAAAAATTACAAAATATATTCTCTTCTAATAAAGTAAATACAGCTTCGAGGCATGCAGAAACTATAGAAAGGGACAGATATCTACAAATAAGGGAAAAAATAAACTTTTACAGCCAAATGATCGCTTCAGTAACATTAAGCCAGCCACTAATACAATTTGTTTTTGCACAACAAATACCTTGCATATGAACACCTCCTTACATGAAGAACCTAGAACACTTTCCCAGAGTATTTAAAACCAAATTAATCATTCAAATGTAGAACCGTTGCTGGTTGGATCATTACATTGCACACTAATTTAGGTTTCTAATTACCCTAAGAAAGTGTTTCTGGTTCTTTGTGTAATGTGGTGTTTGTATGCAATAGAATTTTCCACACAAAAACAAAGAATACAGCCAAATTTTGTGAGCGGCAAGGTTGATATCACCCCCAACAGATTGTTAGACTGTTGTTATTTGTTCATGATTTCTCAACTTGTCACATCCTTTCATTTCAGATCATATTCAAGTTGGTTGCCCCATATAGTAAATATTGATAGATTAATCACATTTATTTGATTATCACTTGTATGCAAGCTGACTGTGCAATATAGCACCCAAATGAAATAGAATACTGTCACTAAACATAAATGTTCACACAGTGCAAGACATTTTTCTTTTCTCTCATTAAATTAAAAAGATTACCAAGATTACATACTACCGTACTGACTCATATGACTAAAAAAATTTGAAGAACAATTTATAAAAATTTGTTTTGTTTAATAAATAAAATTTTCAGAATTAATCTGGATACATTGTCGCATACGACTTATTTACCACTCCCGTGTCACTGAGAATGTTCTAGAACCGTACTGTGTCTGGGTGGAATATTCTAGATTTTGTTTAGAAACTGGTTGAATAGGTAATAGAACACTGTAGGAGGCAATAGAAAGTAATGGAACATTCTAGAATTTATAGTAAATTCCAGACTCATTATGTATGCTGATGTAATGGTCTATTTATAGACAGTGTGGGTATATATAGGGGAGTTGTTCAGCACTGAGTTCAGATCGGGGATCTCGTTGAATTGCATTGGAGTTTAAGTATCTAGTTATTGGAGTAGTGGAGTTTTACCGCGTTATTATACTTGATGTTTGCAGAGTATAATAATACCAGTACCAGTTGAAATCTCATCTGTTGGCTCTGTGTTCGCATGTTATCATCGCCGCCAGGGAAGTCTTTCTGTTACTGTTGCCATTTTGGTATTTGAACCATCACACCTGTACTATACCAATTACGGTAATATTACGTTGCGTGTGACATACATTCTTGCTGTGAAGTAACACTCAGCATGTATACTTGTAATGTTGAGGGCGCTGTACTTGCTTGCACTAAATTCAGACTGAATTGTGTCAAATCTAACATGCACTCGTAATTTCTAAAGCACTACTTAGTGTTGGCACATATGGCCCTGTAATCAGAATAAAGCTGACCCAATATAATAATCAATAAGGTGATAATGCCTTACAATCTGAATTAAAAAAATCTTATCTGCAAATCTGATAATTTGAACTCAAAGAAGCAAATATTGCATAAAATTAAATATGATGCAAAATAAATCTGTAAAAGTTATATACATGTATAGAAAAAATACAAAATTGCTGCATTTTAAAGT